CTTCCGCGAGGGCCGGCCGAACTGGTAGTGATCCCGTTGAAAGTGTCTTCCGAGGGAGTTTGAAATGAAGTCGTTTATACATAGATTTGTTGGGGTTTCTTTGCCATTTTTTGTAGTGCGCAGAATAAAAATTAGTTTGCTTTCGAACCACCATGCTGCCATTTTTAATCAGAAGTAACGACTAATGGCTAACGTAATTTTATAGCAGATACCGTAAAATAATAAGGACATTGCTTTACTGTTAAGAAGATATTCCCCTTTAAACAACAGTCCCCACCGCCTGGGAAGAACGTAAGTGGGCGAGCGAGACGCCTCTGGGTTTTGCGTCACGCCTGCATTTCAAGGGTCAGACTTGCCACTCATTCAAACTGGAAGCGGATCCGCGTTCGCAAGGCGGTTGCGAACGCGGTTCTAAAAAGATCCAGTAAATTGCACGCGCACTCGATGACATCATGCGCGCGTGCAATTGTACTGCATCTTTATACAACCGCGTTCGCAACCGCTTTGCGAACGCGGATCCGCTTCCAGTGTGAATGACCGGTTACTGGTTCCCGACACCAGCACGATTGACGGCTTCGCCCAGGTATTTGAATGTTTATTGATACGGAGAAGAAGGGGAAGAGCGCGACGGCTTGCGGCCGTAGTGCGTTCTGGCTCGCGTTCTAGCTTGCAGTCAGATAAAAAGCCCACCGCTGAAAACCACCCTGTGTACGGAGTCTAAAACACGATAATCATCAAATGGGAGTGTACGTAGACGTATAATTATTAGGGCTGGGCAAATGATCGATTAACCTACCGATTAATCGATTAATGCTTTAATCGCGATTAAATTTTTTAACTGGTTAATCGGTAAAATTTAGACGAACCAAAAAAAACTCAAAATTAAACACTTCCATAACGCAGACGTGGACGAATACGCCTGTACGAAGGGTGACCTTTAGGTCAAATTTTAGAACAAGGTAAACTGTACAGGGGCGATATTTTTATAGCATCCGATTAAGTACAGAGGTTACGCATATCCCCGGCCATTTCAACGTAGTTCGAGTGTCTGTTTAGCGCAGTAGAGATTATTGTGAACAATGAAAGGAAGCCGCTCTTTCTAGAGAATATCAACGAACATCTTTGCCTCACGCGGCAAAAGTAATATTTAGCGAAAGGTCTCTGATACTCTTCTTAACTACATATCGAGATTAATTCATAATCTAAGTTGTACATTGCACCGTTTATCACAGATTCAGCACAAAAAAAAAAGACTTTTTTTAATATTTTGCAATGAAATAAACGAGACCGATTAATCGATTAATTAATCGATTAAAGGATGGCGATTAATCGGGTTAAAACTTTTAATCGACGCCCAGCCCTAATAATTATCCGATAAAAAGTTCCGCTTGATTCCTAAACGAATAATGCCGGCGTCCAAGTATTGGCCTCGAGATCGACCTAGAGGTGGCGCTACGGTCGCGCTATCATCATCGTCAAAGCGGGGATAGGAGAACGGCCGCCCGGTCGCGCGCGAGACGGCGTAGATTCTTGCGTTTATTTTGTCGCATACTATCGGTGGGAAAACAATTCTAGCGGAAAAGGATGCGGTACTGTTCGGTGCTTCAGTGAAGATCGAATCGTGTTGCCAGCGTGCGGCCCAAATTTACATAATCGCTTCTGTGGGTGCGTCGTCTGCTCTACGCAGACGTTGGGAAGCATTGATCACCACGACTGATGCCTGTCTCCGGCTGAACTGGAATATTTATGTTAAATATTTGTTTCTTTTAAAATAAATGCATCGATTCATCAACGTAGGAATTTAAAAAAAGATTCCAACCCAGATAACATAATACTGGTACTGTGGGCTGTGGGCTGTGAAATCGCAGTTTCTATGCTTTTTTTAACGTCTAGCTTTTGCAGTAACATAAATATTTAGAATAAAGATAAGTTAGCGCTGTATTGAAAATTACCATGCTATTGAGTTCCTCTGCCCTTTTGCTGTGCCATAGTATGGGTAACTTTTTTGGAGTCTGAACAAATCTACTGCGTTGCGATGAGGAGAGAGTGTGTCTTCAAGTAAAAATCTGCAAACTTCACGGCTGGCAGGACAACTGAAACAAGTGAAACAAACTGTTCTAATATGTCTGCCACGAGTGGAATAAACGAGTGTAAACGAGCAACGCAGCAATGTTCCTGTTATTAAATGCTTTTCTCGGTAGTGTGAGTTCACCCGCTTCGATTTTCTTGGTGAGGGCCGCGGATGTCAAGAGGCTAATACTATAAATTTCTGGCTAAATAATCTTGTATTCAAACACAGTAGACTCTGCAACCCCAACAAACGACGCGCACCACGACACAGACAGCATCAGCCGCAGTGATACTCTTTTACTGATGAGGGCTAGCGACCTTCACGAGACTTTCCGATCATCCTCCGCCCTCACCTATCGTATATCGGGACTGGGCAGTTCATCGATTAACGTTCAGATTATTCAAGTAATGCTTTAATTGAAATTTTTTTTGCCGGTTAATTGGAGTCTTGTGCTGGAGAAAGTCAACAAGGAGTAAAAAATGCCTGCTTTAATATTTTTGACGTCTTTACTTCTTTTGTGACACCGGCTTGCACGGTAAACCACTTCAGCGCGGTTTACCGTTTATCATTTCGCCGAGGGTGATTATACTGTCTAAATAAGAACTTAAAAAAATGCTTCATTTTAACCCGTGTTCATATCTATGTAGGACTCACAACGTGAAGTTTATAATCTGAATGCAATATGCCATTTATGACATAGTAAAACCAGTAAAAAAAAGTGTAGTTTTAGCGTCTTTCACGCAATATAACCGGGGAAACATCAACATACGGATTTATTGATTGATTAGTCTATTGAAGGATAGGGATCAGTCGGGTTAATTTTCTAATCAAACCACAGACCCACTCAACATTCAATGCTTTATGAAAGCCGCGGTTTGTGCGAGATAACAAAAATACGTGGGACCAGCGATTGTATAAAAATAACACACTAAGATTATGGAAGCTTCCGACTTAATAATAATCGCTTTGCTGAATTTCTACGCATGGCAAACGATACAACACAACCTTCAGTAAGAAGAAACGGCAACAAAAACATAAAACATTTAATAAGGAATGTCAAGCTCAGCCTAAAACGGGCTTGCGTCGTCGAGATCCATGCTTCTGAGCGTGCGCCCGTAGCAGGCGACGCACGGCGGTATCCCCGCTTTCACGCGTTTCCGATTTCGGCCGCACGGTGACGGCACGGTTCGATCTCGAGGCGAATACCTTCATATCAAATTGTTAGAACTGTAGGGAAGATTGTGTGTTTCTTGAAAAAAGATTTCGGCCCCTCCCATCCGGTCCGCTTTCCTATAGGCCTCAAATAACGCGGACCAATCTTTCCTTTTGTCGCAATTCCATTTGGCTGCTTCCGCAAATTATGAATGTTGTAGATATGTCCAGTGGCTTAGTGCTCACTTTTTGAATGGAACCGAAACTAAAAACGGACCAATACAAGCTGAAGTGTGCAAGACACTTCAAGAGAGCCTATCATAGTGAAAATGAACTTCTCTAATGTGGTAAGTAGGGTCAGCCAGTTCGTAATTTTTTATCCACTTTTGAAAGGCTCCTGAAAAACAGGAGTCATGCGATTTAGAGCAGCTCGTTTTAGCGAATACCGTTTTACCGACCCCAGTTCATCGAATGCCTTTATAGAGAAACCAAGTTTAGAGAAAATGGCGATGAGCCTCCTTTTAGCGAATTCGGTCGCCGCGATCGACGTGTGCGGATAACTCTGGTGAGTTAACATTTTTGTAATGAGCCGCCGCGGACTGCCGGCCGCGAAGCGGCGGGAGCGCAGCGGGGGGCTTGGGTTAACACGCGCACCAGTGATACACGCGCGAAGTAGAAAACCCTTTTTTCATTAGCGTCCCCTTTTCGATCAACGGCACTTCTCTATCTGAGGCTCTGCTTTCTCTAAACTATGCTTCGATAAACCGTACCCGTTCTCTAATACCCCTGTCAGACGGCAGCTAAAATGGCATTTACGCCAAATGACATTCAGGTTTTCAAATGACATTCAAGATGGGACCTGCCAGACGACAACTAAAATGACATTTAGGTGATGTTCATTGCGATTGCATTCGCCAAGTCGAATCAGTCACACAGAGTATGCTTTTGCGGTAGCGATTATTAATTCCGCAATAAACTATTTGTTATATTTTGTTTGAAGTAGATGAAATTTATGAAACACCGCAAAGTGTTTTTTAAACGAAGTCTGCTTTTTGATGAGACGCTTGCCGCTTGGCGGCTTGGCTTGCTTGGCTTGCTCAGTGGGCTCCCTCCTTTGTTCAGCGCCGTGTCTCGTTTCTTTTTCTTCTCTTCGGCTGCCGTCGCTGTTCGTTCCGCACGAGTTTCCCCCACTTTTCCACGTGCGATGGATCCTGCGGTGGACCCCGTGGACCCTGATCCGGCTGCCGCCGTTGCGATGGACGTACTGTCGTGTGCTGCGTATGTTATGTACGTGCCCGCTCTGCAAACAAGTAGTTTGTCTACTTTTAGCGTGGACATCAGGTCTGCCAGGAGGGAGGCGGATCTCCTCGAAGAGGAGCTTCTTGCGAACAGCGTTTTGCTTGCTGCCGCTGCTGCTGCGTCAATGACTGACGCCGTGCCGCGCAGCGTCCAGGCGTTCGTGAGGAACGAGCGGTGGTTTGAAGATACACTGCCAAACTTGCCTGCTTATTTTTTCAAGCAGTCTTTTCGCGTGATGCCGACCACGTTCCGGTACCTCGTGGATGTGTGCCGGCCGCACATGGAGCGTGAAGTGACTGCCATGCGTGCGACCATATCGGTGGAGAAGCGAGTAGGCGCTTCCTTGTACAAGCTGTGCTCCACCGCTGAGGACAGGACCATCGCCCACCTGTTCGGCCTGGGACGCTCCACGGTGAACGAGCTGTACAAGGAGTTCTGCACAGTCGTTGTCTCCGCTCTCGAGCCCGAGTGGGTGAAGATGGTAGGCGCCGCCGAGCTTGCTGAGCACGTCCGGGAGTTCGAAGCTACCTTGGACTTTCCGCAGGCCATAGGGGCACTTGACGGCTGCCATTTCCCTGTGTCGCCACCACAAGCGGACGCCACCGACTACCGGAACTACAAGGGCTGGTAAGTACCTTTTTCCGAAAGGGAACCGTATATAGCCTCCATTATTTAAGAGATTATGTTTGGATTAGCAGTACAGAATCTGCATGTCCTAGCATTCCCGAGTTTAGACCACATAGTTTCTAGCCACATTACCAAATTTTTTTTTCTTCCAATCGCTATTTGGGAACTTACTGCTTGAAGACAGAGTCAGTGGAACTGTCTGACCAACATTGCTAAAATGTGGTTTAAAAAAAGTGTTTTTTAGCCAATGTGTTCCATTACCTTATTGGGGGAGGTAATTATGTGGTGACCCAGCAGGCTAATTGAGTGCTTTGTCACGCTTATATGCAGGTACAGCATCATCCTCCTTGCCCTGATGGACCATAGATACCGTTTCCTGTATGTCAACGTCGGAGCGCCAGGGCGGTGCCATGATGCCCATGTTTTCCGGAGGTCGGCACTGGCAGGCATTCTAGAAGGGCCAACCTTCCAGAAGCCCATGATCACCATCAATGGGACCGCCGTGCCACCACTGATCCTCTGCGACCAGGCATTCCCGCTTACGTCCAACCTGTTGAAGCCGTATCCGCGGACGGACGTCACGGACAACTCCACGCAGGCGGGGTTCAACAAGCGGCTGTCAGCTGCACGCAGGATTGTTGAAAATGCCTTCGGCCGAGTGAAGGCACGGTTTCGCCTGATCCTGAAACGCATGGAGTGTGACGTTAACAACGCCCGCCTGATCGTACGAGCCTGCTGCGTCCTCAACAATATCTGCGAGCACTTCAACGATGGCGTTGAGGCCCAGTGGCTCAGGGATGCCCAGCGTGTGGACGGCGTCCACATCCAACCGGTCTGCGCCATGGACATCGAAGCAGACAGCGGACAGAGGATCAGGAACGCCATTGCTGTCTACCTGCACCAGCGCTCCAGGCTGCAGCACTGAATCCCTGTTGCGTGATTCACCACGGAGGCCCCATGTTACTGGTGGCATGGCACTGGCCTGTCTAAACATCAGTGCTGTCTACATTTGTGCAAGACAACTGAGGTGCACCCTCGGGTGCACTTGAGTCGTCTTGCACAGATGCAGACAGCACAGATGTTTAGACAGGCCAGTGCTGTACCATCAGTAACATGTAGCCTTCGACCAACCAAAAAAAGGCCCTTTTCAGGGCCAAACAAATAGGCTTTTGGAGCTTGCTATACTGTGAGACCATGCCCTCCCGTGTCTCGAGTAAATGCTTCATAGGAGTCATGAAATGTGCCTTTCATTCTTCGAAACAAATTTTGTTGATTGAATTATTCCAGTTTATATCTCAACTTCTTTACGAAAAATATAGAAAGCTTTGTAAGGCTTGGCAGATGTTTAGTGACAAGTACATATCAATAATATATGAAATATGTAAGCAATGATTATGATATTCATTGGATATTATTGAATCATTGGATAATATCAAATGATTTAGAACAGAAATTACCTAAATCATTGGACATTTTTTCTTATATTTGGTGGCAGGTTAAGGACCCATTCGATGTTATATCTCTAGCGTGTGGTTGTTGCCCACCACCTAATCAAGTGTCGCAAAAGGCAAAGCTTCAGAGGCAGAAATCTGCACTCTCAACTGTTACCACAGCTCTGAAATACTTCATATTTTGATACTAATACCGTATACTCTATCCTAAACATCCCCTTTTTTTCACACCCGCGATGTTCAAAGGGGGGGGGGGGGGGGGGGTGCGCTTGGAATCTCGAAAATACGGTAGTTACCTTGAGAGAAAGTCATCCGTGAAATTTTCCTTTAACAATATCTGCACAAATGGCACTAGACTTCGTTGCTACGAGTGATCCCAACCAATTGAGTGCTGAGCAAGCTCCTGTGCTCCCTCCAGACACTTGCATGGCATTGAATTGAATCCAATGGCACGTGTCTGCTGCAACCTTGTCATAAGGGTGAAATGGAGCATCATGCCTAGCATTAAATGCCGAGGTAGAGATTATTTCATATTCAGCAGTTTCCTTCACCTTGCAGAATATAATGATTATATAGAGGTCTATTGCTACAGTAAATACTGATATGGGCCTCCAGCACTGAAGTTGCACAATAAAAGCTGCACTACACTGCAGCTATTTAGAAATTGCCCCGGTAGTGCAACAAAATCCAGAGATGTCCTTAGCTGGCATGCAACAAGCAATGGCATGACCAAAATGTCGTAGGTGACATGCTGTCATGCAAGCTTATGCCTAATGAAGTACAGGCGGTGGTGGGTTTCATTCAGACAGAAGAAAATTGCTTGGACCACATAGCTAGTACATTCTTCACTTGAGATAACTGAAATGAGCCTGCACAGAATGATTGTTTACTTGGAGGCTTTATTAAGGAACGCCATCATGGCAGCCGCAAGGTCTTGTTGAGACTTCGCCATTTCTCTCTGTGCTTTCACAGCGTCCTGCTGGGTCTTCAGTGCCTCTCGCTGGACAGCCAGCTCCTGCTCCCTGAGCTCGAACTCTCTGTTCCGCGCTGCTTCGTAACTTGCCAGCAGTTGAGCTTGGCGATCCATAATGACTTTGAATGCAGCAGTGCTGGGGCCCTGCCTCTTCCTCTTGGGCCCTCTCGGCTGGGCCTCGTCCGTCGCCTCGCTGCTGCTCCCGCTACTTCTTCTTGAAGCCGTGGCGGAGTCGAAGCCAGCACTGGTGCTGGCATCTGCGCTTTCGTCCTCGACATCCGCAGCACGCTCCCAGTGAACATCTTCCTCGGGGGTGCTGCCTTGCGTCTCCGAAAGGAGCTGTAAAGGATGTCACAAGACAAGCTTTCCATATAGAAGAACATGAACTTGCTAGTGGCCAAGTATTGCCCGCAGCCACCCTGCAAGGTGTTTCTCAAGACGAGAGTCAAATTGTATCTGAAAAGCATGCAGCGTATACAAAAGGCCACTTCCAGAAAAAACAATTTCGGCGTAATGTGTTCATTATTTACAGTCGAGTAATGACTTTTGAATTTGTAAATTTAATAGTATGCTTTTAACAAGAAACTTCATCAGCATCATCGGAAATCACTTAATTTATTTTAGAAATGTATAAAGCACATAGAGGACTTTACGGTGTCCTGAACAAAAAGCTAGATTTTGATCATTTTCTAGGTTTCGGTTTTCTGTCTGGGCACTTTTTTGGGCCAGCGGTTCTGCCTTCCAGCGAGAGGACAGTTGAATTCTCACGCTGTTACACAGGAATTAATGCACACAAAAGCAGATACCAGCACAACCATGCGACAAAGTGTGATAGTTGAAGAGCAGTTAAATACGTCGAAAAGCTGGCACCCCTCGGTAGAGCCGCTCTCAAAAGAAGCATGCGCCATTCAGAAAACTGCAGTTTAAGCCGTGATGTCCATGACGCCAGGAAAGCAGTGAAAGCGATAAGCTGGTAGAGCGATACAAACCCTTTCAGGTGCATTTGTTGCCGAGTTCTTAAGAGTCTCACTGACTAAAACTCCATTTCATTGCTAGCAACGTACTGGTATATACACAAAGTACAGTCACAGTCTTTGCAATCCCCCAGTCTGCAAAGGCTTTCAGAAAAGCTTCACAGCTCTGCCACCATTTTAAACTATTGAGTCAATAATTGACACCACCACCAGCATCAACAGCAACACACGTGAGACGGCCGACGTGCATGAGACACTTCTGTTGAGACGCAGCTGCGTGAATAACCTCTGGCAAAGTCCAATTAAGGAGCATTTAGCATGAATGGAAGACCAATGATATCAGATACCACAGCAACCTATTTATTGAAACACTTTATTTCTAACTACATGAGTAATATATCCTTTGTCGGATGGTTTTCTGCTTACATACAAAAACATGCCACCTCGCTTCAGAGTGCAGCGGAACTGCTGCTTGGACTTCACCTGACTACACGCCTGGATTTCTTGAAGCCCTCTACAGAGCTAAATGTCCAGGGGGCACAGTACAGGCAGCTGTTATCCAGAGGTCATCGAGCATGTCAGTTTGCTTTTGGTGAGCGTGTATGTCAAGAACTTCCACCCAGGAGACCGTTTGCTGAAAAGAGTCATCCTGTCTCGTGCAGGGCCTTTGTCCTACCAATTGTGAATGAAAACGTCTGGTGGTACATTCAATTGGCAACAGCACCTAGACCACCTGAGGCCATGCGGGTCTACCGTTCCTGGCATGGAAGGCATCAATCTGGTGCTTCCGTGCTTTGGAGCGTCCAATTGAGTGCCGGAGCCGGGGAGTGAGCCAGAGACAGTAGAAAGATACGTGGGGGTCAGTGCTCCTGGCTGGGAATCACAGGCAACACCGGCCTGAGCGACGGTACCTGAGCGACCACCTGGACGTTCAACAGGTTCGAGGTGGTGCGGGGCTATGGAAGATGGCCATCGTTCCGGGACTCGCGTACGCAAATGGCGTACTCGTCCTCTCATCGCAAACGAGAGAGTTCCTGGAGAGAATACAGAGGGATGCGGGAAGAATGGCCCTGGCAGTCTCAAGAACAGCACCCAACGAGGGTGTCCAGGGGGACCTGGGCTGGTCGTCCTTCGAGGCCAGAGAAGCCAGCGCCAAGGGACTGTTCAAGAGGAGAGTGTGCAGACTCCCGGATGAGAATTTTGCCCACCGCACCCTGCGCTACTTGATATACCAGGAAAGAGGCACCAAATGAATGCACCGCCTCCGAAGGCTGCGGGACTACTATGGTTTCGAACCGATCTGGCTGGAGTCTGCGGGCGAGAACCAGGAGGGCCCAGCGGCAATCAGAAAGGGCATCCGAGCGGTGGAGACGGAGAGATGGAGAGCGGGAGCGGCGGCGAAGCCGTCCCTCGCGATGTACTACGCGGAGAAGGAGGCCATAGGGAAAGAGCCCTGGTACGACAACTCGACAGGCAGTGGACTCCTCGCAGAGGCCCGCATGGGTACATTACGGATCCGGGTGTGGAGGGCCAGGTTCACCGAGGGACAAGAGAGAACGTGCATACTCTGCAGGCAGACCGACGAGACGACGGAGCACCTGGTGCTGCAGTGCCCACACATTGTACCGGTCCGTAGTACAACGGTGCTACCAGCAGCACTGGCTTTCCGAATCAGTGCAGAAAAGGGGAGGAAGAACAATCGATCGGCGGTAGACGTGAAAAAGAGGCGGCTGGAAGTCTGGTGGAGGCCCTGGGGAGACACATCGGCGGAGGGAGTGCAACCGATCAGCGGAACACCAAGCGGAAGCGGAAGTCGCGGGAGGCGCGACTGACTAGGCTAGATCCAGTATCCGTTACTGTTGATCACCCGATACAAAGGGAAGAGCCGTAGACTCAAATCCAATCCAATCCCAGAGAGGATTCGGGGCACTCTGAACTGGTGCCACGATTTTGTAATGCACTTTTTATCTAGCGTAGAGGAGTGTGTTTTATGTGGTGTTAAATTTTCCCGCTAAATTCGGCAGGAAATTATTCCGAATAGGGTGGCGTCAGGTGCGACGTTAAAAGGGTAAAATTTTCCCACTAAACATGGCGGGAAATTCTCCTGCTAAATCAAGCATGAATATTTCCTGCCAAACGTAGCGGGAAAATGTTACCCTCGTGATGTCACATGTGACGTCATGTGTGACGTTATTATGGGAAACGTCCCATAATGTAACACGCGGTTACGGCGACAGCGACGCCGCTCAACCCGGAAACAGGCGCCCAAGAGCTGCACTCTAAAACAATGTATTAATAATGCCTGGCTCGACTAGCATGTTTCGCCCACACACCAGGGGCCCTAAGCTGGACACTTGGCGAAAAGGTCGGCGAGAAATCTGGCGCCCGTGATTGGTCGACGCCGCACTTGACCTTGGCGCCGGCCAATCATAGCCGCCGGATTTCTCGCCGTCTTTCTCGCCAAGTGTCCAGATTAGGGCCCCAGACGAGAAGTGCACACGAAGCACCACTGCTGCAGCGTGACGTAAAAGAGTTGGTGTATACGGAGCGCCCACCAACTATGTCCATCTAGGGCTGGCACAATGGTACGGTTCACCAAGAAATGCACACAGGCTCCACTCTCTATAAGGACAGAACACATACAAAACATGTAGACAAGAAAAAGCCACGATTAAAAACTGAAGTATGGATACCTCCGAAACTGCTGGTGTGACTCTCTCCGAGCAGTCGCTCTCCTCTACCAGGCTGCTGTCATTCACGGGCAGCGACCCCAGGATTCGATGTACTTCCCAGTAAAAGGGCCAGGTGATACCACCAGACCCAGTGGTGGTGCAGGTCCTCTGGTGTCTTCTAGGGAATTAAATTGCAGTGAGTGGCAGGTTTCCGGTGAAAATCTTCAACATATGTGAAACTACCCGTATAGCTGAAATAAGCGTAAAAGCAATGTCGGAATGGGGATGCGCACATATTATGCTAGTTGTTCTATTCCCCTTACAGATGAGGCCGATGATATGAAACCTGTTGCTGCCGCATCACGTAGCACTGTGCACTTGGTTGCACAGTTGCAAACATTGATGACGTGATAACGCTATCATCATTAATTTTTTTTTCGATTTATTGAGACACGCAGTTACGCGCTATAAACGTGTTTGTTATACATTTAAATGACTTTGAGAATACAAACTCATCGTGAAATTCTCGCGTCCCTGATTAGCTGCTGCTGATTCAAAAAGTTGCTCGCTTGTTTCGAGCCGAACAACCGGTCTCGATCCCAGCATTTTGTGTCGATCTAAGGAAAACCCCGCTAGCAACCCCAAAATTGCTGAGAAAGTTGCCCCGTCCGAAGTGGGCCTCACGAAACGCAGCCGGAAAGTCAGCCTACATACGGGACTCCCCACTATTTCGAGGTACGCAATGCAGTTGTGGCGGGTAGGCGAGCATCGCCCTGGTCGCCGCTCCTGCCAGTTGCATTGCGTGCGTCCTCGCACTACAAGAGTCTGAGAACGGCAGGACGCTTCTTTCGAATGCCCTGGCTTCAACACGCGCCCGCTCCGCGTGTTGAAGCCAAGGCCCTTCGCCGCGCCTTGGCTGGGTGTGCATGCCCGGGGACCACAGACTCACGAGAAGCCAAAACGCTATCGAAGGTACCGAGCGCGCGGGGGAGGCACTCTGGCAGGCTCCTCTCTTTTTATTATCAGTCACTACAGCAGGCTACGTTCAACTCACCGGTACGTGTTCGACAGGTTCTCTATCTTGTGATGCACCTGGTCGACGGTCTTCTTAAAGCCCGCCTCGGCCAGTTTCGCCGCCATGTCGGCGTACACACCAAAGTTCCTCTTTGCTCTTCGGAGGTCCTCCAGGCGATCCTCCCATATCGCCAACAACACCCATGTTTCGTGGACGCCCCACTGGACGCGAGGCTGCCCCTTCTTGCTCCCGCCGCTCCCGCTTGCCTCCGCGCCGGCCGACATCGTTCACGTCAATGTTATTACAAAATGCGAAATATATACAGAAAATACACTCGATTGAATATATATACACAACACAGAAAATAACACGCTATTAAATGATGAAATAAAAGTAAACGAAAAAGAGAGATAATTATAAAAGAAGAAGAATAACAGGGATGAACGAAAGTGAGCAGCGAACGAGCAGGCGAACGAGCGGACAAGGAAGCAAACGGACAGCGAATTAGGCAACCTGGACAATAAGCCAGAACGCGAGTATATTAAACATTTCAAGTTTAAAATATGCACAAAATTTTCATCTCGTTGTTATTTGTTTTAAAAATAATGAAGATGGAGCTCATTTTTGGAAATAATTAAACCGTTTTATTTCAAATAATATATCAGTTGATGTTTATTACAATTGCAGTCGCAAAGTCGGGCACTTCGGGCGTCTCGCGAAAACACTATTTTTCTTGTGTTGTCTGCTGGGACAACAGAATATAAAAGAAAACTGGGATATAGAGTTGCGCACAATGATTTTTTTTAAATATGTCAGGCTTATGACGAAACTAAATGTTTGTGGCTAAACGTCGGGCGAAAGGTATTAGCCAATGCAAGGTCGTTGAAAGCCGATCCGTATTCCGAGCCTTCTGAGCTAGCGCGCAGCTGACCCAGCTGACAGCTTCTCGCTATCGATTGTTTCGGTGATTTCGCTCATGTTTGCTTGCTGTGGCTGTCCTTCACGCTAGAGCTTCGTTTGCCGTGTTCACTTCTACGTTTGCGAAGGATCCTGAATGCCGTATTGCGCTTCCGCCGTTGCTTTCTGGCGGTATGGGTCGATCTTGGTTCGAGCGTCTCCGGCTTTTGAGAAGGCTGTCATCTCCGTCGTAGACGAATTTCTCTAGCTTCGCCGCGGTATGACTTCTATCGAACAGGTGAGTGCTGTTGCTACAGAAACTAGTGGCTCACATGACGTCCAAGCATACTCAGCAAATGAACGCTGGTTTGGGGACAGACTGCCGTACCTACAAACGTACTACGTCTACAAGCGGCCGTTTGAATGATGCCGGCGACGTCATCGGGGACCTTCTGAATGTGTGTCCGCCCCACGTAGTGTGCTTGGTTGGCCAAGTGACTCGTCGGTACAGATGTCGCTGGTCTGCCGCTGGCGTGGCCTAAAAAGAGGGGAGGAGCCTGGGAGAGGGGAGGGGGAGGGGCTATTGCGGAGCGCCAATGGCGAGGTGCGCGGAGGGGCGCGCGCCGGGAAGCAGGCACGGGCGCTGCGGGCTCCTATTTCAGTTGCTTTGTTGGAGTACAGATGGCGCTACGAGCGCGCTGTCGCGTGGAGTGGGGAAGACAGGGCAGACGGGCGCACCAAGGACGCGGACACCTATTTGAGTTGCTTTGTCAGAGTACAGATGGCGCTACGAGCGGCGCAGTGCGCTCGTGACGGTTGTGCGCCTTCGCGCTACGCGGTGAAATGGGCGCACGGTCGCACTAGCGACGCCGGCGTGCTGTCGTGACGGCTCTTGCGGCGCGCCGCCGTGTTTCGCTTGCTTTTGACGGCTCTGCGCTCGGTCGCGCGTCGTCGCTCTCTGCGCGCTTTTAAACATGGCGCTAGTCACGCGATGTACTCGGGGTCCCTTTCGTGCGCGCTTTTAAACTGCAGATGACGGGGCTCTGTTGCGCTTTTGAGTTTATACATTTGAACAGTGATTGCAGTGATGTCTTGTAAAATTTAATCGGAATATATAAAACCATCCCTAATTGATAGACAGTTTGACGTCTATTTTTAGGTTATTAATTGTCGTATCAATACCGCTTTTCTTCTAGCAGTCTTCTAGCTGAAAGGCTCAATATAAAAAAAAAAAGAAAACGCATTACGTATAGTGCTGGTACCTGATACATAAGAGCAATTCTTACAAGCTGCGACATTCTTTGAAGCGCCGACTGCTTGACGGTGCAGTTTTAAGGAAGCGAATGGCGGTGCACAGCACAAGACTGAACGGAATGACGCCATTTTGTTTCAGCGGAATGGGCCCCGTCATTTGGATTGGTTCTCGTTACTTGTAAAATTAATAATGAAGGGACTTTACAGTGTTAAGAAGCGGGGCGTCCCCTACATCGTGATGTCACCGTCTTCCAAGCGCCGGCCGCTCCCGATGCACGGCGGAGGCTACGCGGTCACTGTCGTGCTGTCGTGTGACCGCCAGTGACCGCCTGTGGCCGTGTGGACGTACACTTTCGTTCGCGGCTCCCGGAAGGCTCCCACTTGCTTTGCAGTCACTTGCTTTCTCTTTCTTTATGACAGCATTTCAGAAATTTCATAACATAAGTATCGTGATAGTTTCATACCAAAATTTATTTGTCTTAAAAAAAAAAAATAATAAGACATCCTCGTTGCCCTTTTTAGTGCGACACCTTTAAGCTCAATTATCATACTCAATCTCGAGCCCTTGTTTGTTTCATTCTCCCAAGCTTGCCGATCGATACCAGGGGGTCCGGAGACTGTGCCAGTCTGACAAAGGCACGAAAGAAGCCAAGCGAATTCGATCAATCTTAATGTACGAGAGTTTCCCATCAACTCATAAACCGTCATACATACGCAGAATGAGAGTCGTGGAAAAATGGACAGCCATCTAACGACACTTTTTTGGGAGTGCCAGATAATGTGTGTGTGTGTGTGGGGGGGGGGGGGGGGGGGGATCATAACGCGTTGACACGTGCTGAAACGCGCAGTTGTTCGGCGGCGCAAGTGCGCATGCTTCGGACGGTGGCGAATTCTGAGTTACCTAGGTTCCGTTAGAATGGAATTCTACATTGATATTGGGAACTTCTAGCAGTCCGTTACCGTGTTCCGCGTACTGCGCTACCGTCCACTCAAGGTATCATCGAGGCACGCCCTTAAAAGCATGCTTCAGAGGCTCCGGTAGTGCGGTACGCGAAACACGGTAGCGGATCGCTAAAAGTCCCTATTACTACTATCTACGACTACAAACTGTTCAGAACGCTATCGAGCCAAAATATTGCGTTACTTTTACTCTGAAATTGTTTCTCCCCACGTATCGTCACCTCTAGTTGACTTCTTCCGACATGGCTCGCATACGTCAATCGTACAAACCCACCGTAGGGACGTACCGTTCAGAAGCCTGGCACTCTGGGACTATTATGTTTTCTTGTGTTTTAGACTACCCAGCTATGCGGAGAGTCAAATAAAAACACAAAAAGCTGTATGAAAGTAAGACAAAGCATAGAATAGTAAAATAAGGAATAAGGAGAAATATAGTAGATTTTTTATTCTGCGATGAACATGAACAGAGTTTTAAGTCGCACTGAATAAACTGATGCACTTTACACACAGAAGTCGGATCTATTTCAAGATACGCGTATTCATTTCAAATACAATTCATAATGCGACCGTTGGATATAAAGAGAAAAACAATTATATGTTGCTCTTTCAAGACGAAATCAAAACTAGCCCATAAAGGGGGTGGTAAAACAAATTCTGTATTTTGCGCGAATACGGCCTATACCCACGTCAGACGGGAAGGTAAATGTCATTTTGATCGAATGTCATTCATCGCTCGGCGAATCAGCTCGTGATGCTATAGTTCTGCATGTGGCGGTTGCACGCGCAGCGTGGCTTATTAAACACGCGGATTGGCCGAGCTGTAATGTCATTTTGCTCAAATGTCATTTAACGTGCCCGTCTGGCAGGGGTATCAGTACAGTGGTCTCAAACTCATTTGAGTGTAGGCTTATAGATTAGACACGACAACTGCGTGGGCACTCGACTTCGGCTCGTAACAGTCAATGCCTCGGCGGACACTCGGATCGTGGCTCGTGTCCACCCACAGCGGTGATGAGAATAGCCGTAACAATTCCTGGATTCCTGGAGCCGTTTAACGGCATAGGATTGGCACGAGGCCACGTGGCCGCTTGTTCTGGCTTAGATTTGAGGGGATAGACGATGCATATAGATATTTCTCGAATTTTTTTAGCGACTGCCCATTGCCTAGAAAGAAAAACTAAGTCAAGTTTATTCAGTTATTAACGTTGGTGAGTGATATTAAGTAGTAATTGGCGAAGGTACAAAAATCGTTTCGTGGCTTCTTTGATGGTGATATTTATTTTCTATTTTTTTGAAGTCGAGAATCCCGAGCTTTTAGCTTTATTTTTGGCAGTTGCTCCTGTTGATCGAGAGATCGCGCAACCGAGATGCATCCCTCAACGAATAGCTCGCTCTTGCATTACAAAAAGCTGGAAAGCAAAAAAATATAACAATACAAAGGGCAAATGAACACGGATAAGTTTAAACTATGTGAATACGCTAAAAGAGCAGAGGTACTTTTCGAGCAAAAATGAATCGACGACACGAGATCACTACGCCGCATGCCATGTCTAGCGGTCGAGACATTGGAACCGCGGGACTCGAAGCTGATAGCCTGCGGGCCGCGTGTTTGAAACCCCTGGCTTAGAACGAATCCCTGCACGTTTATGACCAATCAAACACGCGTTCGTTTTTCTCCGCACAAAATAAACGTCGCAGAAAAAACAAAAAACAAAAAAAACAGCGTTTATTCTCTTAACTCGCAGTCAGAACAAGCGGCCGAGTGGTCTGGAGCCGATGATATGCCGCCAGTGTGGATCATAGCCACACGCTGAGGTTGGCAAAGCACAGGACACGCGCTGAGTTTCAGACATTATTTGGGTTCGGCGTCGTGATTGCCGCGATCGGACACACGAGCCACTATACCCGAATGCTTGTCGAGCTATCGATTATCACGAGTCCAAATCGAATGCTCACGCGATGCTCGGGTTCAATCTATGAGCCGCATTTAAATATTATCACTAGGGGACTATACCAACACTGCGACCCCCACGCTACGTCATCAAGTTTTGCGAAGGATAGACTGAAAGAACACGCTCGCTTTTATCCTTGAAATTACACTGCAACGAAGAGGTTT